AATCTAAAGAATTGCTCATAACAGAGGAAGCAGGGGATCACACGCTCTGTGTGTGGCTGTCCAGGTGGGTTGGGGAGGTTGGCTGAGCTGCTAAAAAAATCTCAAGAATTGCTCATAACAGAGGAAGCAGGGGATCACACGCTCTGTGTGTGGCTGTCCAGGTGGGTTGGGGAGGTTGGCTGAGCTGCTAAAAAAATCTCAAGAATTGCTCATAACAGAGGAAGCAGGGGATCACGCGTTGTGTGTGTGGCTGTCAGGTGGGTTGGAGAGGTTGGCTGAGCTGCTAAAAAAATCTCAAGAATTGCTCATAACAGAGGAAGCAGGGGATCACACGTTGTGTGTGTGGCTGTTCAGGTGGGTTGGGGAGGTTGGCTGAGCTGCTAAAAAAATCTCAAGAATTGCTCATAACAGAGGAAGCAGGGGATCACACGTTGAGTGTGTGGCTGTTCAGGTGGGTTGGGGAGGTTGGCTGAGCTGCTAAAAAAATCTCAAGAATTGCTCATAACAGAGGAAGCAGGGGATCACACGTTGAGTGTGTGGCTGTTCAGGTGGGTTGGGGAGGTTGGCTGAGCTGCTAAAAAAATCTCAAGAATTGCTCATAACAGAGGAAGCAGGGGATCACGCATTGTGTGTGTGGCTGTCCAGGTGGGTTGGGGAGGTAGGCTGAGCTGCTAAAAAAATCTCAAGAATTGCTCATAACGGAGGAAGCAGGGGATCATGCGTTGTGTGTGTGGCTGTCCAGGTGGGTTGGATGGTAGGCGGCTTTGAGCCGGCTAATTTCGTCTGTTTGTGTTTTTGTGCTCTTGTTACGTTTTGCTCCAATGTGTGCCATCCTGTGCCCACCGTTGCTGCTGCTCAGAGGGACTGAGAGGGATGTAGGAGCAGCGGTAGAGGGCGTGAGGTTCTTAAGCACATGTTTGTGCGAGCATGGAATTCCACTGTTCTCAAGTTTTTTTCTTGTTTTTTAGTCAGGCCAAAGTCCTTCTAGTTGAGCCAAAATCCTTTTTTTTTTTTTTTTTTTTTTTTTTTTTTTTTTTTTTTCCCCGGCTGGTCCCTGATGATCACCTGTGCTTTTGAAAACTCGTGCGGTCCATTTGTGATCGCCAACCCTGATAAACATTGTGTGTATGGTATGCACACCGTTGCTGCTTCTCAGGGGCACAGAGAGGGATGTGCCGGCAACAGGGAGCGCGCGTGCGGGTCTTAGCAAGAGCGCGCGTGCGGGTCTTAGCAAGAGCGCGCGTGCGGGTCTTAGCATTCCCTGTGTTTTTTTGTTCTCAGGGGCACAGAGGGGGATGTGCCGGCAACAGGGAGCGCGCGCGCAGGGCGCAGCAAAGGGAGGGAGAAGAGGAAGGTGGACGTGGCATGGCGTGTGGGGAAATCAAAAGACGCACATCTCTCAGAAGCACCCAGGAAGGAGCAGGTCGAGGTGAGTGCAAGGCGAGGTGAAGCAAGTTCAGGTGAGGCGAGTTGAGGTGAGGTCAGGATGAAAGAGAGAGAGAGGGTCGGAGAGGGAAGGTGGATGTAGCATTACCTGTGGGAAGTCACACGACACCCAGGAAGGAGCAGGTTGAGGTGAGGCGAGGTGAGGTGAGGCAAGTCAAGTCAAGGTGAGGTACGGAGGACAGGAAAGGAGATTGTTTGTTCTGTACTGGGCACTCAAGGCCCGTCCCTCAGACGCACCCAAGAATGACATTTTCGAGGCGATGTGAGGGAAGTAGAGGGGAGGGCAGAAGAAGGGAGGGTAGAAGAGGTGAGGCAATGTGAGGTGAAGCGAGGGGACTTTTATCCACTTTCCCTTTCAAAGACTTTTGACTGGGAGCTCCAGTCCAGACATGGGAGAGCAGGGCTGCCTCTGTGGCGAGTCGACTCAAAAGTCAGCATGGCTGCCTCTGTGGCAGCTGGCGGCCTTTCTTGCCTCAAAGTGGTTGACACAACCTTCTGCCCTTCCCTTCCTTCCTTACCCTCCCCCTCCCCCAGCCCCTCCCCCAGCCCCTCCTCTTTCTGCTTTCAGACTTTTGACTCGGAGCTCCAGACACGGGAGAGCATGGCTGCCTCTGTGGCGGCTGGCGGCTGGTCTCGTCTCAAAGTGGTTGACACTTTGAGACTGGCGTCTCAAAGTGGTTGACAGTTTGAGACTGGCGTCTCAAAGTGGTTGACAGTTTGAGACTGGCGTCTCAAAGTGGTTGACAGTTTGAGACTGGCGTCTCAAAGTGGTTGACAGTTTGAGACTGGCGTCTCAAAGTGGTTGACAGTTTGAGACTGGCGTCTCAAAGTGGTTGACAGTTTGAGACTGGCGTCTCAAAGTGGTTGACAGTTTGAGACTGGCGTCTCAAAGTGGTTGACAGTTTGAGACTGGCGACTCAAAGTGGTTGACAGTTTAAGACTGGCGTCTCAAAGTGGTTGACAGTTTGAGACTGGCGTCTCAAAGTGGTTGACAGTTTGAGACTGGCGTCTCAAAGTGCCCTCAAACTGGTCCCTTCCTTAATTACTTCCCCCCTCCTCTTTCTGCTTTCAGACTTTTGACTCGGAGCTCCAAACTCTAGAAAGCATGGCTGCCTCTGTGGCGGCTGGTCTCACCATTAAAGGCGCCTCAAAGTGGTTGACACACCCTTCTGCCCTTCCCTTCCTTAATCACCTCCCCCCTCCTCGTTCTGTTTCAGACCTTTGACTCGGAGCTCCAAAATCTGGAGAGCATGGCTGCCTCTGTGGCGGATGAGCTAGAATTCTTCCACGAGAGGTGAGTGAGAGGCAACCCTCGCTTTACCATCTTGGTGCTATGTTATTGCTATTGGGGAATGAACGGTTCACATCACGCACCTAAAACATGCTGCCTCATACCTCTGTGGCGGATGAGCTTGAATTCTTCCACGAGAGGTGAGTGAGGGGCAGCCTTTTTGAGACGTCTCAGAAATACCCTCATTAACGCACGGCTGCCTCTGTGGCGGCTGAGCTAGAATTCTTCCACGAGAGGTGAGCGGCAACCCTTGCTTTACCAGCTTGGTGCTATGTTATTGCTATTGGGGAATGAACGGTTCACATCACGCACCTCAAACATGCTGCCTCATACCTCTGTGGCGGATGAGCTTGAATTCTTCCACGAGAGGTGAGCGGCAACCCTTGCTTTACCAGCTTGGTGCTATGTTATTGCTATTGGGGAATGAACGGTTCACATCACGCACCTCAAACATGCTGCCTCATACCTCTGTGGCGGATGAGCTAGAATTCTTCCACGAGAGGTGAGAGGCAGCCCCCTCCATCAACCCACTCATGATTATCTTGTTGCTGCCTCATGCCCCTGTGGTGGCTCAGATTGAGTTCTTGGAGGGGTAAGAGGCAACCCTCGCTTTACCGTCTAAGTGATATAAAAAACTGCATGTGATGCGTCGATGTCATCGTCAACTCACAAATCGACGTAAAAGCCAATTGTTTTATCAACCTCTTGGTGTTACGTTACAGCCATCTTTTGGGGAATGAATGATCGGTGCTGCACTGCAGCCAGTGGTCAACGCGTCACACGTGAGAGTGGTGTCTATTGAGGCGCGTCAAAAGTCTTTCGTGGAATGAATGATTGGTGCTGCAGCCAGTGGTCAACGCGTCACACGTGAGAGTGGCGTGCCTCAGTCCAGCCTTGCTCCTCCTCTCCACCTTCACTACCTGCTTGACCTGCATCCCTTCCTGTAATTTGAATCGCAGGGATTTGGAGCTGCAGCAAGTGGTCAACGCAACACACTTGTGATGTGCATGAGTCCCGCTTCGCACCTGGTCTGCATCTGCACTATTTGTTCCAGAACCTTTCTTTCCGTCTCCTCTTCTTCCCTTACTGTCATTTGAATCGCAGGGAATTGGAGCTGCAGCAAGTGGTCAACGCAACACATTTCAGAATAACGTGTATAAGTCTCACTTCTCTCCTTGTCTGCATCTCCCTGACAGCCCTCCAATTCTGGCACCTCAAGTCCTTCTTCCACCATAAAAAGCTCTTGTAACCGGCACCTGCTATCAGCCACACTATGAGTTGCTTTCTTTCAGGTGCCTATATTGCTGGCCTTGATACAGTAACTGTGACGATATTCACATCTGTAAAGAACACATTTTCTATGCATCAATGAAACGAGAAGCGCACCATTTCACCGCAACTGTAATAGAAGTAAAACAACGCTAAGTAAGAACTGAAGTGTATCACAATTCAAGGAACGAAAAGAACTTGTGGGTTTGACGAAAGTATGTCTCACGTATATCAGCTGGCCGGCCACCCTACCACTGTGCCAGGTAACATCTGCTGAAGCGTCGCAAAACCAGCAGCCTCGGTTGCAGTCTTGTTGGCAGCGTTGGTGGCAGCCTTGGTGACAGCCTTGGTGACAGCCTCGGTGACGGCCTCGGTGATGGCCTCGTTGATAGCCCCGGTGGCAGCCTTGGCGGCTGAACAAAAAAACTGGAATTTGTTGACTCTACCGTGACCCGCTATACCGGTGTTACTTTTGAGAATTATCAGAAGTAACACCTCTACCGTGGCCCTTGAAGAAGTAACACCTCTGCCGATCATCTCACCGATGAAGGCATGGAGAATGTCATTGAATTCTCTTTTGCTTCCACTCTCCTGCTTCCGTCGTCCACTCCTTCACCAGTTCTCACAGCGTCACTGACCGCTGCATTTGCCATTCTCCTTGTGACCTCATTGGCCTGACCTGGTAACAGTCATCTCACCCGAGCCATGGCTGTTCTCCTTGTCTCCTCAATGGCCCGAGCTGACGCGACTCTTGTCCTTGCTATTCTCCTCGTCTCCTCATTGGCAGTGGCCTGAGAAGTCTCTTTGTCACCTCATTGGCCAGAGCTGGTAACAGTCATCTCACGGGTGAAGGCATAGAAAACGGCACCAATTCCTCGTTTGCTTCCGTTCTGCTGCTTCCATCCTCCATGCCCTCATCAGTTCTCACAACCTCACTGGCCGCTGCATTTGCCATTCTCCTTGTCACCTTCTCACTGGCCTGACCTGGTAACAGTCATTTCACCAGTGAAGGCATGGTAATTGGCACCAAGTCCTCTTTTGCTTCCATTCTGCTGCTTCCATCTTCCATGCCCTCATCAGTTCTCACAGCCTCCCCAGTCGCTGCCTTGGCTCTACTCCTTGTCTTCTTCGCCTTTTCACCCGAGGGAGGCCAAAGGTTAGTGCCGTATGTGGCAATCAGAAGCGCCTCGGCTCGGCCTGTGAATCGAGAGGGTGGGAGAGGGAAGGATGGGAGAGGGGAGAGACGACGAGAGAGGGTGCGAGCAGCAGAGTCAGACGATTCCTGCGGCTGGCCAAAGGTTTGTGTCGTATGTGGCAATCAGAAGCACTTGGCCTGGGAGTGACGAGGGTACCGTAAGAGAGGGGATAGAGGGTGAGAGAAGGTGAGAAAGAGGAGAGGAACAGCAGACAGACGAATGATGAACTGTTTTGAGACATCCAATATACATATGTTACGTACATACATATACATATATAATACATGTGTATCTTGTGGTGGTTGTGCAGTCAATGGCGACCACAAGGGCGGGCTCGGCCTGGGGATGCAAGGGAAGAGAGAGTGGACGGACAGTAGACTCGGAGGATGAGAGCAGAGGTTTAAACTGATTCGAGGGACACAGTGGACACAGGGCGGGAGGGAGGAAATGGCAGAAGATGCTGAGGAAGAGAATACTCCAAGTGTGAGAGGAAGAAGGGATGGTGGACTCTTGAGTCGACTCAGAAGTCAGTTTGGGATGGTCGACTCACCATGGTCCTTTTTCCGCTTCAGCTGTGCCGCAAAGGCTTTTGAGGCACATCCAAAATATTATAATTGTAAGTGTGAGGGGAAGAAGCGATGGTTGGCTCACCGTGGTCCTTTTTCCGCTTCAGCTGTGCTGCCAGGGAGCGGAAGAGCGAGAGGGCCAACTGCCTGCTGTCCTCCTGGGAGAGGGAGAGAGAAATAGAGGGAGGAGAGAAGTGGCAGCAGAGAGGATTTAGATACTGTACAGGCCTTGAACAAACAATAAACCAATCAAACAAACAAAAATATGTACACTGAAGCACAAAAGCACTGATACGGTTTTTGAAGCTATGTAGAAGCCAAGGCAATTCATACATTCGTGAGTGGTTGACTGATTGAGTGAGTGAGTGAGTGGTTGACTGATTGAGTGAGTGAGTGAGTGGTTGACTGATTGAGTGAGTGAGTGAGTGGTTGACTGATTGAGTGAGTGAGTGAGTGGTTGACTGATTGAGTGAGTGAGTGAGTGGTTGACTGATTGAGTGAGTGAGTGAGTGGTTGACTGGTTGAGTGAGTGAGCGAGTGGTTGACTGATTGAGTGAGTGAGCGAGTGGTTGACTGATTGAGTGAGTGAGTGAGTGGTTGACTGACCGAATGACTGACTGACAGACTGAGTGCCTCAGTGAGTGACCGACCTTGGAGGTGAAAGCGAGGGGTGCTTGCGAACGAACGGCTGCCTTCCAGCGCACCGACGTCACCGCGGTGACCTCGAACCCACTTGCTAGGAGCAGGTGGGGACGTGCGCACAGCGACTGACTGACTGACTGACTGACTGACTGACTGACTGACTGACTGACTGACTGACTGATTGACTAACTGAGGGAGTGAGGGAGTGAGTGAGTGACCGACCTTGGAGGTGAAAGCGAGCTGTGCTTGCGAGCGAATGGCAGCCTTCCAGCGCACAGACGTCACTGCAGTGACATCAAACCCACTTGCTGCCAACACGCCCATCCACACCCCGAAGCCAAAGCCACAGCCATACCAACCCTGCAGGGAAGAGGGGAAGGAATGAGAGGGGAATGGAGAGGGGGGAAGTGATGAGAGGGGTGGTTGTGACCTCGAACCCACTTGCTGCCAACACGCCCATCCACACCCCGAAGCCAAAGCCGCAGCCGTACCATCCCTGGAGGATGACGAAGGGGTGGAAGGAGGTGGATTGGATGATTTACAGCACTGGATTAACAACTTGTTACTGTTTTGCACAGCGTTCATCTCACCTGCTCGCTATCAGAGGGGAATGGCCTCGCCATTTAAAAGCTCTTAAAAGTGAGACGATGTTTTAGGCGCCTCAAAAACGTCTCACTTCACTTCACACGGCCTGGCCTGGCCTTGCTCCTTATGAAGGGAAGTTGTACCACTGAATGCACTCTAGTATACAATATGTGTCGAAGCAATACCTTCTTGGATGCACTTCAATTCACAGTGCTGGACACACCTGCTTGCACCCCATCCCACCTGCTTGCACCCCATCCCACCTGATTGCACCCCTCCCCACCTGCTCGCACCCCATCCCAACCCACCAGTTTGCCATCAGAGGGGAACGGCCTAGCCTGCTCCACATAGGCAAGGCGAACTGACGCGGTGATGGGAGTGGAGAGAGGGAGGGAGGCCGAGAAGGGGAGGAGAAGATGGGGGGAGAAGGGGTCAGCAGAAGAGCAGGAAGGGGGAGGAGCGGGGAGGAGAAGAGCAGGGGGTAAGGAAGGGAAGGAGAAGAGGGTAAGAGGGTGAGAAGGGAGGCGAAACGACTAGGGCTCTGCAGAAGCAAGGTTGGGAAAGCTGAGAGGAAGGTGGGAGGGAGATGAGTGGAAAGTGAGAGGAGGGTGAGGGAGGTGAGAGGAAGGCGAGATGACGGCAAGAAGAAGGATGAATAAAGGAGACAGGAAGGTGAGAGGAAGGTGACAAGAAGGTGAGGGGAAGAAACCAGAACAAATTGCAAGAAAGCAGCAGATGGCAACCAGATCATAGCATACCCGGTGCAGGTGACAACTGGTGCAGGTGACAACTGGTGCAGGTGGCAACTAGTGCAGGTGGCATCTGGTGCAGGTGGCAACTGGTGCAGGTGGAAACTGGTGCAGGTGGCAACTGGTGCAGGTGGAAACTGGTGCAGGTGGCAACTGGTGCAGGTGGCAACTGGTGCAGGGGAGCCGATATGGCCTGGGGCAATGTTTGACGGGCCTTAGAAACCCATGCATGTGGTAACCAGAGTGCAACCTAACGGTGTAACCCACCCGGTGCAGGTGGCAGCTGGTGCAGGAGAGAAGCTATGGCCTGGGCGCTGTGCCTCTTGCGCCTCTAGAGACGCCTCAAAAGTCCCACCTGGTGCAGGTGGTAACCCGAGCGTAACGGCATAGCCTACCTGGTGCAGGTGGTAACTGGTGCAGGAGAGAAGCTATGGCCTGGGCGCTGTGCCTCTTGCGATTCGAAGCACCCACGGATACAAGCTCATATGGCACATCGTGGATCTGGGAGGAACGAGTGTTGGGATTTCGGGTTGCAGGTTTGGGGTATTGAGTGAGTGAGTGAGTGAGTGAGTGAGTGATTATGAGCTGATACGGCACATCGTCGATCCGGGAGGAACAAGAGTAAGGTTGTAAGGGTTACAGGGTTTCAGGGATCAGTGTTTCAGGTTTAGGGTTTTGGATACGAGCTCATACGGGGATCTGGGGGGGTATGAGCTCACACGGTGCGTTATGGATGTGGGAGGAACACGTGTAGGGAGGGGAGGGTTGAAAAGGTTGCGAGGCGATTCTTGAGGCGCCAAAAGAATCGTTTGAGGGTTTGCAGGGCAGGGTTTCAAAACCAGGATACAAACTTGTAGAGCAGGGTCAAGGATCTAGGGAAACGTGATTAGAATTGTGTGTTGAAGGGTTGCGGGGTCTTAAGGATTTGAGGTCTCAAAAACCCTTCTCAACTGTATCCCACCTATAGGCTATAACCCACCTGCCCATACACCATTGCTCTTCCTTCCTCCAATCCATCCGCCCCATCTCCTCCTGGCGACATCCTCGTCCATCCCTCCATTTCCTCCTCAAGCTCCCACACTCTCTCACACTCCTCCTCTCCCTCCTCCTCTTCCTCCACTGCTCCTCCCACACTTCCTCCTCCGCCCTCTCTCACAGCTTCAGCAGCAGCAACAGTAAGCCTCTCCTCCCATTCACTCGTTGCTGCATGTTGAGCCGCCTCAGAACAAGACTGCACACGCAGCGCCTTCTGAGGCGCCTCAAAAATTGCCTCAGAACAAGACTGCACACGCAGCGCCTTCTCAGCACCATCCCCTTGCTCCTCCTCACGTCCACTCCCGGTGTTGACAACACTTACAGCACAACTTTCCGCCTCTTGTTTTCGCCGGGGCTTAACAAAAAGCACAGCCAAGGCCCCCAGCACGTCTGGGTCCACGCCCAAAATAACTGCCCCCTGCGGGTGCCTCTGGGTTATATCAGCATGCCACGCTCTCTTGCGCGATTCCATGGGGTCCAGTGCGGTTGGTGCCGGTACATCTGGGTTGCTCCCCAGCACGTCTGGGTCCACGCCCAAAATGACTGCCCCCTGCGGGTGCCTCTGGGTTATATCAGCGTGCCACGCTCTCTTGCGCGATTCCATGGGGTCCAGTGCGGTCGGTGCCGGTACGTGCAACCCTTTCTCGCCCTCTGTGTCGCTGCTGCCCATCGCTTCTAGAGCAAGGTTTTGAAGGTATTTCAACAACGAGTTGCCATCCCCATCCTCTGGGGGGTTGATCGCCACATCGCCACACACAGGGTCCCCCACGTCAGCACATATAGCAGCTGCATTTTCAGATCTCACTCCCATCCGCATGTCATCGTCTGCCCTGAAATTCCCCTTCTCCTCCGTGTCATTCACACTCGCATCCTTGGCTTTCCGCCTCCCCATCCCCTTCTTCTTCCCCTTCCTGTCTCCCCCCTCCTCCCCCTCCACATCCTCTATCCTCTGGGCCAGCTCAGACTTTTGAGACGTCTCAAAAGTCTTCCCCTTCGCGTCTCCCCCCTCCTCCCCCTCCACATCCTCTTTCTTCTGGGTCAGCCCAGCAACAGACTTTCTTCTGCCCCTCGTTCTTCTCACCACCACCACGTCACCCACAGCTTCACTTCCGTTAGAGTCACTCTTGGTAGAGTCATTCTCAGTAGAGTCACCCCGGATGGCTTCATAACCAATGGAGTGGAGGACAGAATCTAGAGATTCTGTTCCCACCCTGCCGTCTGCTCCTCGCCCCTCCTCGCTTACTTCCACCACAAATCTCTCACCCCCCTTCTCCACATCCTCTTTCTTTTCGGTCAGCTTAGCAGACTTTCTTCTGCCCCTCGTTCTTCTCACCACCACCGCTTCACCCACAGTGTCGCTGCTGCTAAAGTCACTCCCATTAGAGTCACTTCCGTTAGAGCCACGCAGGACAGAAGTTTCACCAATCGTGTGGTGAAAATCCAGAACTGGGTAAGCCTTTCCATCTGCTCCTCTCCCCTCCTCCCCTCCTTCCTCCAATCCCCCACCCCCCACCTTTTCCACCAGTACTGATAGTTGCTTCCCTTTCCCCCTTCCCCCCCCTTCTCCCTCCCCTCGTGTTTCCCCCTCCTCACCCCCCCTGGGCCTCCCACTCCGCCCCTTCCCCCTCCCACCCGCCTCCTCCAGCGAACCTGTCATACTCATTACTGTCAATTCAATACCAGCAGGAGCTTCTGTACTCGTTACTGGCGAATCCGTGCTAGCAGTTACAACAGAAGCGGATCCTTCAGCATCAAGCACACTGGCAGAAGCATCGTGACCGTTGGATGCTGCAGCTGAGCAAGCATGCCTGCCCGAAAAACTCTTCATACCACTGTTCACCTGCCCCGAAAATGCTGCAACAGCAAAACGGGCAGGAGCAAGGGCTGTTCGCGAGGGGAAGGGCCATTCTCCTGCCACAGGCGAGTAACTTCGCCAGTGGGCGACATTTGTGGGGTGTGGTAACTGTGCCAGTTTCGCCAGCATCCCTGGATTCCCTGACATTGCTGCCCGATTCGCCACTGCTGCGGGGGAGACTGCAGCAGAAGCATTAAGGGGCTGTTGTCTGGAGAGAGGGGGCGGAGGGAGGAGGCGGGAGCGGGAAGGAGGATGGGGAAGGGGAGGGGGGAGTGGGAAGAGGGAAGGGGGAGTGGGGGAAGGGGAAACGGAGGGGGGGACGTGCTGGGTTTACTTGATAGGCACAGGGGGGAGGAGAAGGGGGACATGGGTTTAAGCCTCTGGGCTTAAAGCAGAGGGTGGGGAGGGTTTTAGGTTTCGGGGGTAGGGAGAGGCGCGAAAAGCAGATGCGCGAGGGGAAGGCGTGGGGAAATGACAATTCACTGCTACACCAAGTTGAACCGTTTTATACCGATTTGCAACCCCACAACTTGGTTCTTTCTTTCAGACCTTACCTTGACGGCACTGGAAATCGTATATCGCGGACGACTTGCAACGAGTGGCAGGCGGTGACGCAGCGCGTACGAAAGTGCGAGGCTGCTAGGCGGTATCTCCAATGCAGCATTCAGCTAGTAACGTTACGAGTTTAAACGAGCGTGTCGACTTCGTGTCACGAATTCGTAACGTCGGAACTAGAGATGCCGAAGCGTATCGGGGACTTCATTTGCACAACGATTGTGACGAAGCGAATCGGGACGCGAATCGGGATAAACATCTCCAGACCGCCATGCAATCGGAGTACAAGGGAAGCGATGGGAGCTGGCGGCAAGTGCGGGATGGAGTTGGCTTCAAGAAACTTGCCCAAGATTATGATTTCAGGCGTAAAGGTCCCGAGTCGCTTTCTTCTACCCACCAGTCAGATCGTAATTCATACTCCAAATGTTCCCGGAATCTGTCAAACTCGGGTAAAACGGGCCCGCTAAATTCTGTATGTTTGCTGAGCGAAGAGCATTCCGTGTGAGTTGCTGTCGTACAGAGGTCTCTCTATACCGCGAATGACTCAATTTTGGTCCCAACGAGATATACTGTATCAGGCTAAACTGTTCAGTTCCACGCAACCCTCGCCTTGGTAACATATTTCGTTGCACCTGCTTCGGCGCAGAGCAATTTTCAGGTCACACCCAAAACAAGCGCTCCTGCGGTCCGACTTTCACATGCGCCCATCCATCTTAGTTGCTAGGGCGAATTTGGCGAATCCCCTCTGGCCAGCGCGCGGCTCGGCCCCTACTGAACCAACTTCGAGTTCCGTGACTCGGGACGGGAACCAAACAATCAGAAGAGCTCAAATAGGCGAAATATTCCTGATTTCAACAAATCGTCTCACCTCACCTCATCTGATTCTATTCCCAGCTCCCACAATCAAGTGAAGTACACAGATACTAGCATCAGATCCGCGCCCCCATCAGCTATTACGAACTTTCCGATACATTACTAGCCATGGCGAGGGCCATTCTAACAGTCCTTACTCTCGCGACTTTACTCGTAGCCGCAGCAGCCGAACCAGCGCCGAGCGTCAACAAAAACAACCCAGCAGTGGACCTATCTGCGGCTTTAGGCTCCAACGGCGTGGCCACAAACGTTCCCGCTAGCCTCGAAAACGCAGCGGCGAAGGGAAATCTGGAAGATTTCAAGGGAACGACAATCGTGAGTCCAGCGACAGACAGCATGCTCTTCGCCGATGTGAAAAAGGCCGGCTGGAACGCCATGAAGTGCCACAAGGACCTCGGGAGACCCGGGGAAGGCGCGTGCACACCCGCGAACTGCAGCAAGGGCGGAATTCCCGCCAAGTGGAAGACGGCGAATCTGCTGAAGAACAAGCTCGGTATCGAGATGTACGTTAAGGGAAATCCGTTGACGCTGAAAAAGGCGTCTCCGCAAACCTGCTGCAACACCTGCGCCGCGTACAAGAGCTGCACGTATTGGCAATATATTCCCGATGTAACGATCGACGGTACGAAAACTCTGGGCGCGTGTTACCTGGTTCACGACGATATTGATTACACATGCGGCGAGCTGACGGCGCAGTACGCGACGGAGACGAAGCCCGTTAACCTGCAGGTTCGCACGGGCGGCGAGTGTAACCCTAATGCGAAGGTCGTGAACGATCCCCATCTGGTCGGCGCGTTCGGCACGCATTTCGACTTCAACGGCCGTCCGGATAAGGCTTTCTGCCTGCTGAGCGATAAGGACCTGCATATCAACATGCTTCTCCGCGGTTACTACAGCGACGATACGGATAACGCCGCGCTCGTGGTTGACGGAAAGGCTGTGCACACGTGGATTAAGGAGCTCGGTCTCGTGTGGTTCGCGAACGGCGCCGATCATAAGGTTCGCATCGCTGCTCGCGGCGGTAAGCAGCAGGAGCGTGGGGATGGGTTCGTGAAGTCGATCGAAATCGACGGCGAGGAGATTCCGAGAATGGAGGTCAGCGATGTGGTAACCTCAGAAGGGGGTTTCGCCCTAACATTTGTTGGGCTGGAAAAGGAGGGTCCGTATGATGTGGATTATTACACGCTGAACATTGACGGGCTTGTGTCGCTCGATCTGAGGCTGCGTGTAGCGAATCCGAAGCTGCAGACCCCCAACGACGCCGAGGCGCATATCAATGTAGGGGTCGTGGAGCTCGAGCATACCGATGAAATTCATGGCGTGTTGGGCCAGACCTACCGCGTGGACCATGCTAAACGGGCGGCTGATTTCCAAAAGCTGATCGCGAATCTGCACCGTCCGATTTCAGCTGACAGCGAGGAGGGTGTTGGATTTTTGGACGGCACTCCGCGGTCATACGAGTCGAGCGCCGTGCTGGCCGTGGATTGCGCGCATACTGCCTATCACCGCGCGAGGCAGCTCAGCCCCGTCGAGGAGTTCCCGATGGAGCCTCTGGCCTAGATGTCTCCTTGGCGGGAAGATCCCTTCCTGAACGCGAAACCCACCCACGCTTACACTAGATCGTAACTGTATTATATAGTGGATCTTGTAAAAATATTATATATTTGTACCTCACTACGTTCATGTACGCTGCAAAAGCATTTTATTAAACAGAACACCATCTACAAATTGAGTTGCAAACATCACAATATCCCACGTTGCAACAGTCCCTAGTAGTCATCCAAGTGCATGGTTTGTCTTGAGTAGTCGCGAGGCATGCGCACCATGGCACTTAGGTTTGCTACAGTGTTTGTGCGCTTAGAGTACTCTGCAACTAGCTGCGAGAAGAGCGATCTCTTATTGGCAAGCAGCCTCACAGGGGAGTCAAATTCCTCCACTCTACCTGCAAATCCATATGAAGGAATAAAGCATATCAGATCAGACCATATCAGAAAAGAGAGTGCCATCCATGAGAGCATTGGTGGATAAATGTGGGATGCACTAGAACATGGTTGGATTGGCAGCGTGTGAGAGGAAGCATCTAGAGGGAGGGGAAACAAATCCATGGTTTGTGTGTGGGTTGGTGGTAGGGAGGCGGAGGAAATGGGGGCTGAAAGGCAGTGGAAGGATAGGGCAAGTGGGGGAGAGAGCGACAGAAGGAGGAAGAGTGAGTGAGAAAGAGGGAGGGATAGGGCACGAGCACTTTCTCAGAGTTTGATAACACAGGAAATGCTGTGCACTATATTCATCGTGTTTTGAGACGATTTTTGAGACATCGCAAAAGTGATCAAAGGGGAAATGCGGAAATGCCGTGCACTACTGAGACGCCTCAATTCCGCCCAAACGCATGCACGAGCACCTTATCGGAGTCGATTACAGAGGGGATGCGGTGCGTTAAAGAAAGAGTAATTTGACGAGCCTCACACACAAAAGTAGCCATCCCCTCCCCCCCTTCCCCTCCCTCCCACAACCCCACCCCACACACAGAGTCCCACCCACCTGCTTCCAGCACGAGCACTTTACCGGAGTCGATTACAGACGGGATGCGGTGCGCTACAGATATTGTGTGTTGAGGTGCCTCCTACACAAAAGTACCCCCACACACACATATGCACACACAGCCCAACTCACCTGCTTCCAGCACAAGCACTTCACGGAAATCGATCAAAGATCGTGTGCAGTGCGCTACAGATATCGTGCGTTGATGTGCCTCAAACACATAAGCGCACCTCCCCCCTTTCCCCACACACACATCCACACACATGCTCTCCCCTCACCTGCTTCCAGCACAAGCACTTTATCGGAGTCGATCACAGAGGGGATGCGGTGCGCTACAGTGATCACCGTCGCCCGGGCGAAGTTCTCCTTTATGGTCCGTTGGATGATGGCGTCGGTTGCCGAATCAACGGACGCGGTTGCTTCATCCAGCACCAGGATTCGAGAGCGCTTGAGCAGAGCTCTGGCGAGGCAGAAGAGTTGCCGTTGCCCCACGCTCCAGTTCTCTCCACCCTCCACCACTGCAGGAAATAAATATTGGAAATGTAATTGTGTAAAATCGATATGAAATCAAACTGAAAAGCTGCCTCTACCCCACGCTCCAGTCCTAACCTCCCTCCACCACTCCAAGAGAGAATATTACATGTAGCAGAACCGATTGAAGAACCTGAGTGAGACACATTGAGATGATATCTGCTTGACCTATAATTCAGTCAGACTTTCTGAGATGCTTTACGAGATCCGAGCTGTCCCTAGTCCAAGTAATCCAGTAGAGATGGGCGGCAGAGAAGAAGAGGAGGGAAAATGACAAGACTCACCAATGGCGTCCAGCTTGTCTTCTTTGTCCATTACTGCCTCTGCCAGCTGGCACCTCTCCAGCACCTCCCACGTGTGATGGGATGTTTTTTAGGTGCCTCAGAGATAGTATGGGGTGTGCGAGTAGGAGGGAGTGAGGAAAACGACAAGACTCACCAATGGCGTCCAGCTTGTCCTCTTTGTCCATTACCGCCTCTGCCAGCTGGCACTTCTCCAGCACCTCCCAGAGCAAACTGGAATGGTACCGACCCAGAGGGTCCAGGTTCGACCGAACCGTGCCTTCAAACAGGGTCGGGTCCTGTGGGATGATGGCCAATCTGGACCGTAGATCTTGCAATCCGATGGTCGAGATGTCCACGCCGTCGATCATGACTCGGCCGCCCACCGGCTCGACCAATCGGAAGAGGGCGACGACGAGGGTGGATTTGCCGCTGCCTGTGCGGCCCACCACTCCCACCTTCTCCCCGCCTCTGAAGGTCACTGTCACGCCTTTTAGCACCAGGGGCATGGCTTCTCGGTAGCGCATCTGGGTGTGATAAAGAAAGGGAAGGAGTGGAGGACCAAAAGTGTTGTGTTGCTTCTGCTGCCCACCACCCCCACCTTCTCTCCGCCTCTGAATGTCACTGTGATACCCTTTAGGACCAGCGGCATGGCTTCTCCTTCACGCATCTGAGTGTGAAGGATGGGAGGGAAGGGAAGGTTGTGATGCTTTTGCAGCCAACCACTCTCACCCTTTTGTGGCCCTTTTTTCCTGCCCCTGTCACTGTCACACCCTTTATAACCAGCGGTATGGTATATCTGCAGCGCATTTGCATAAGATAGAAACATGGGAACAAGGGAAGGGACGGGAAGCAGAGGATGAAACTGGAGGTTCCAAGAATTCTCAGAAAAACCACCTGGACGTTACTTGAAGAACAGCAATGAGCTGGGCTCACCTGAAGGTTCTCGAAGCTGATAGAGCCTCGATTCGGCCAGTCAGCGGAGGGCCGGTTTCCCTCAACGATCAAGGGCGCCTCCGAGGGGATGGCGGAGAAATGGCGGATGCGGTCCACTGCTACCAGCTTGTTCTCTAGGTTGGAGACTCTAGAGTTCTTCTGCATTTGGGCTTCTAAATCGCTCCAAAAGCAGCCACACAGCCACAAGCTGAGAAGCAGTGGGCTGGGCAGCCTGGCTCACCTGCAGGTTCTCGAAGCTGATGGAGCCGCGGTTGGGCCAGTCAGCAGAGGGCCGGTTGCCTTCGACAATCAAGGGCGCCTCAGAGGGGATGGCGGAGAAATGGCGGATTCGATCCACTGCCACCAGCTTGTTCTCAAGGTTGGAGAGATGCCACATGGTCATTACTAGTGCCATGTTGAGGGTCAGACCGTAGGCGAGTGAGACACCTGCTAGGCCTGGTGAATGAAAGGCAGAGAAAGAACAAGGAGGGGAAAGAGGGGTGGGTGGGAGGGAGAAAGAAAGAGCTCATGGTTCTCGAGGTTGGAGAGATGCCACATGGTCATTACCAAAGCAATGTTGAGGGTCAGACCGTAGCCGAGTGATACCCCTGCCAGGCCTGGTTAGGGAAGGAGGAATGGGGGAAGAGGCGTTGGAAAAGAGAGAAAACCTTTTGCGGGAATGCACATAACATCCCAAAGCGAGGCACCTTCTGGGGTCGATGCCATGGTCTCCTGGTGGGGCAAGCATGGGGATGTATGCTTGCCCCACCATCCGCCGCATGATGTTGTCCCCCGCATCCGCCTACTCCATCTCAAACCGCTCACCGCATTCCACCCATCGTCACTCTACACATTTAAACCAGGAAACGAACTCCTACCTGATTCGATGGTCCCCTGCGGGACCAGCACCAGCAGGAACGCCACGAACGGGAGCACCGCAGCTGAAACCGTCTCCAATCGGAGGCCCAGCCAGTAGATGGCGCCGCCATAGTGGTGGAAGTAGGCGCGCATGTTCTTGTCCACCGTATCCGCGTTCTCTATCTCAATCCTCTCACTGCACCCCACACAACCCAACCCAACCTTCACCAAGCACACACGCAATACTTACCAGCTGTATGCATCACACACATGCCTTCCCTACCTGGTTCGATGGTCCCTTGTGGCACAAGCACCAGGAGAAACGCCACAAACGCGAGCACCAGGAGAAACGCCACAAACGCGAGCACCACAGCCGAGATGGTCTCCAATCGGAGGCCCAGCCAGTAGATGGCGTCATAGTAGTGGAAGTAGGCGCCATCTACAGCAACATGCACGTAGCGCACCAACATGCAGTAGGCGCGCATGTTGTTGTCAGTCAACTGCATGTTGTTGTCAGTCAACTGCATGTTGTTGTCAGTCAACTGCATGTTGTTGTCAGTCAACTGCATGTTGTTGTCAGTCAACTGCATGTTGTTGTCAGTCAACTGCATGTTGTTGTCAGTCAACTGCATGTTGTTGTCAGTCAACTGCATGTTGTTGTCAGTCAACTGCATGTTGCTCGCATATTGTTGTTCAGCTGCATGTTGTTGTCAGTCAACTGCATGTTGCTCGCATATTGTTGTTCAACTGCATCCGGCGTTCCCTATCTCAACTTTCTCACTGCAATACACGGTTTCCAATCTGCTCTTTGTGGTGTGGTAACCAAGCCTAATGCAAGAGACCTACCAGGTTCGATGGTCCCCTGTGGCACGAGCACCAAGAGGAACGCCACGAACGCGACGCGAGCACCACAGCAGAGATGGTCTCGAGCCTCAAGCCCAGCCAGTAGATGGCGCCATAGTAGTGGAAGTAGGCGCGCATGTTGTGGCACTGCACACTTTCCCAGCTGCTCTTTGTGGCAACCCACCCAACCCAAAACGAAGGACCTACCTGGTTCGATGGTGCCTTGTGGCACGAGAACCAGCAGGAACGCCATAAACGCCAGCACCACCGCTGAAATCGTCTCCAGTCGGAGGCCCAGCCAGTAGATGGCGCCATAGTAGTGGAAGTAGGCGCGCATGTTGTTGTCCACCGCATCTGCGTTTTCGATCTCAAACCGCTCATTCCACTGCACACACCACCACAACCTTTCACATCCCACTCTTTCACCTCCGTTCCTGCAAATCTCCATTCCAAAGCAAGGCACCTACCAGGTTCGATGGTGCCTTGGGGGACGAGGACCAAGAGGAACGCCACAAACGCGAGCACCACCGCAGAAATCGTTTCCAGTCGGAGCCCCAGCCAGTAGATGGCGCCATAGTAGTGGAAGTAGGCGCACATGTTGTTGTCCACCGCATCTGCGTTCTCTATCTCAAACCGCTCCTCCTGGGCGAATGCGCGAATCACTGCCGCCCCGGCGAGAGTCTCGGAGAAATGCGCGAGGATGGGCGACTTGGTTAGGCCGTCGATTCTTGTGAGCTCTCGTGATGAGGACAGGTAGTAGCGCTGATGGGGGGAAGGGTGTGGATGAGAGGGGACAGACGAAGGAGAAATGCGCGAGGATGGGCGACTTGGTCAGGCCGTCGATTCGGGTTAATTCGCGTGATGAGGAGAGGTAGTAGCCCTGGCGGGAAGGATGGGGAGAAGCAGGCCGGAAGGAGGAAATGCATCAGTGAAGTGAGGATGGGAGACTTGGTCAGGATACCACATTACATTTCATTAGGATTGCCATCAGTGCATGTGCATCGGTCCCATCCCATCTGCAGTGGCACGTAGAGCAGCGTGCGGGGGATAAGAGCGAACCTGGGGGATGTGCAGCTTAGACCTTATCCCACAAGAGCGTTGACACTCTTGTATCTGCTGGCTTTAAGATTCCCTAAATCCTATCCCACCTGCGTGCTAATCAGTGCCTTTATCTCTCCCAAGGTGTGGCATGTCAACCTAATCCCACCTGCAGCGGCACATAGAGCAGCACGAGGGGATGAGGACGACGATGGCCAGCCAGCCAGGTGACGGCAGCGGTGACACTTGCAATGCACAGCAACTGAATGAGCTCACAAGTCGTGTACCCTTACCATTCTCGTATGGCTTGAGAAGCATTGAGTAAGTTTCAGGTACGAGGTATGATTTATCCTATAGCACCTGTAGGACTTAGATGCCCCAACCAAGCAAGACCCTACCCCACCTGCAATGGCACGTAGAGCAGCGCGAGGGGGATGAGGACGACGATGACCGGCCAGGTGAGGGTAGAGGCCCGAGGTGGTATACATGACAAGGAGTCCTTTCCTCCCCTATAGTACCTGTGGGATTCAAGGTGCCCCAAGCTAGACTTTATCCCACATTACCTTAATATTTCTGAGTCCCACCTGCAGCGGCACGTAGAGCAGCGCGAGGGGGATGAGGACGACGATGACCGGCCACGTGACGGCAGCGGTGACGAGGAAGATTCCCAGAAGCTGCACGAGGTTGTTGAGCACGGAGCCAAAGTTGAAGAAGAGCTGCAAGTCAAGCGCGTTCTGGTCCGCTGATGCCTGGTGGTAAGAGAGTGGTGAGAAGGGGTGGAGAGAGAAATATTGTGGTGGATAAAGTGGTGGATAGGGATACAAAGGAGTTGAAGAAGAGCTGCAAGTCAAAGGCGTTCTGGTCCGCTGATGCCTGCGTTATGAGAGTGGTGGGGAGGGGTGGAGAGAGATGAAGAGCTGCAAGTCAAGGGCGTTCTGGTCTGCTGATGCCTGGAGATAAAAGAGTGGTGGGGAGAGGTGGAAAGAGATATAGGTGTTTAAGACCTGAAAGTCCAGCGCGTTCTGGTCTGCTGATGCCTGGCATGGGGAATGAAAGTGGTGGATAGAGATGGAGAGAGATACAAAGGTGTTGGAGAATAGCTGCAACTCAAGGGCGTTTTGGCGCGCTAATGCCAGCGTTATGGGGGTGGTGGGGGAGGGATGGAGAGAGATACAGATAGGTGGAAGAAGAGCTGCAAAGTCCAGTGCGTTCCGCTCGGCTGATGCCTGATGGGGGTGAACCCTAAACCCTAAACCCTAAACCTTAAACCCTGGAGAGCAAAAGGGAATTCGGACCCCCATACCCATAGCATGACCACGGGGCTGCTGGCTCCAAACAGGACAAGACTCACCCTGGCAAGGGTCCTCCCAGTGGGTGTGGAGTCAAAGAAGGCCATGGGAGCGCGGAACACAGCGTGCAGCATGTCCTGAAAGAACCCATCTGCCGTCCTCAGCCCCACATGGACCGATAGGAAGGCACGGAGGACGACGAAGAGGCCGCTGCCGATGGCGAGGGAGGCATAGGCTCGGACGTCCGGCCAGGTGAGCACTGCTGGGTGGAGAGGCTGGACTTCACGAGCTAGCCACCAGTTGGCGCCTATCTGAAGCACCTGGAAAAGCACCTGTGGGTGGTGGTGGAGGTGGGTGAGGCCGGGTGTGTGGGGCAGGTTAACAGTTTCCTCTTTTTTCGTTGCAAGCACTGCACCCCCTAAATCCCTCCTGCGAAGCCACAATGATGGGCAGCATGAATCCACCATATGCCCTCGTGAGATATGCCCGCTACACCTCCGCATTCACCCGCCTAACCAAGCAACCTGCCCCCTACTCCTCAGTCACCCCTGTGGCCCCACTTGAGTTATCCTGCTAATTCTCCTTTTTCTTTGCAAGCACTCACTCCCTGACTCCTACCTGCGAAGCCACAATGATGGGCACCATGGATCCGCCATCCATCCACGGAGATACGCCCAGCCCATCTACCCGCCCAAACTGCCTGCCCTCTGCCCCTCATTCGCCCCTGCAGCAGCCCTTGGGTCAGCTCTATTCTCCTCTTGAGTCACTCACCTGCGAAGCCACAATGATGGGCACCATGGATCCGCCATACGCCCTTGTGAGATAAGCTCGATACACCTCCGCATTTACGCACCCAAACTGCCTGTCCTCCCTGAGAGCACTCCCTAACTCCTACCTGGGAAGCCACAATGATTGGGACCATCGATCCGCCATACGCCCTTGTGAGGTAAGCCCGGTACACCTCCGCATTCACTCGCCCAAACTGCCTGTCCTCTGCCCCACTCGCCACAGCTGCTGCCACCGCTGCCATCGGCCCCACCACCACCCCCCCCGCCCCGCCCACCACCCCCACCAGCGACCCATCTGCAGCAACCCCACTCGCCCCACCACCCAAACCATCTCCCGCACCCATCCCCGGGCCTCCCATCCCTCCCGAACCTCCGCCCGAGGCTAGCCCGAGCCCGTCAGCCCCGGCCTGGGGCCCCAGTAGCAGTGTTGCCAACTCTTGATCGTCCATGTCAAACCGTGAGAACACGTCACCGTTGGCAGCCAGGATGTTCCCCAGGGAAGGGGCGCGTTGCGGTTGAGGGTGGTGGTGGGAGGTGTGGGAGGGTTGGAAGGGGTTGGGAGGGGGGAGGTCCATGGAGCCCATGGCGTTGTTGTGGGCGTCCAGCAGGAGGGAGAAGTCTGTGCCGGCCCGCTGCAGCTCCTCGTATTGCCCCGCCTGCACTATCTCCCCATCCCGCATCACCTGGAGAGGGGGAGGGGGAAGCGGGGCGGGTGCGATGGGGGATGGAAGGGGGAGAGAGTTTTAGCAGGAGGGAGAAGTCTGTGCCGGCGCGCTGTAGCTCCTCGTACTGCCCTGCCTGCACTATCTCCCCGTCCCGCATCACCTGTAAGGGAGAATGGGGGCGGGTGGGGGTGGGGGATGGTGAGAGGGTGGGGGGAGGGAGGGAGTCGAGCAGGAGGGAGAAGTCTGCCCCCGCCCGCTGCAGCTCTTGAGAATTCTCAAAAGTCGCACCAATAGAAGTCTGCCCCCGCCCGCTACAGCTCTTCATACTGCCCCGCTTGGATTGGACTATCTCCCCATCCCGCATCACCTGCAGAGGGAGGGGGCCCGGGTGGGGATGGGATGGGGATGGAAAGGGAAGGGGGAGTTCAGCGGGAGGGAGAAGTCTGTGCCTGCTCGCTGTAGCTCCTTGCACTGCCCCGCCTGCGCTATCTCCCCGTCACGCATCACCTGTGGTGAAGGAAGGAGTGGGTCGTGGTGAAGCGAGGCCGAATGCGGTAGTGTGTGGTGGAGCGCGGTGGGGTGCAGAAAGTAAGGACAGATACGCAATACAATGTCGGTGCCAATATCGGATCGGACTAAAGGGAGGAAAAGTGACAGTGTGGACGGTTGAAACTGAGAAGACAAACTGTCAGTGCACACCAGGATGACATCATCCATGATGACGTCAGCGCACATCAGGATGACGCCAGCACGCACCAGGATGAGGTCAGCAGCCGGCAGGAACTCAAGCTGATTGGTCACAAAGAGAACTGTCTTGGCGCCCAGCAGACCCAACACACACTCCTGGTGAGGGCAGTGGACAGAGGTGAGGCAAGAAAGAAGGAAAAGCAGGATTGCAGTGCGGAGCGTGATTCAGTATGTCTGTTTGATGCGCCAGTCCTGGTACCCAGCACGCTTTCCTGGCAATGGCCAGTGGGCAGAGGGCACAGGCGAGGCAAAGCCAAGGGCAGGCAGATGATGCCTTGTGAGGCACCTCAAGTCAAAACACACACACACACACACACACAGCTGCAAAGCAAGCTCATGTGCACACATAGTATGATATGATATGATTACGCAAAGCAAAGGCCTAACATCGAAGATCAAGGAGCTGGTAGCAGTGTCATGTCAACGCTGGAGAAGGGGTCGTGAAGCAGATAGATCGATGTGAGCGTCATGGTACACAATATGAGATGACGGTAGACCGTGAGAGGTCACTCACATCGAAGATCAAGGAGCTGGTAGCGGTGTCGACGCTGGAAAAGGGGTCGTCAAGCAGATAGATAGATGTGAGCATCGGGGTACAGGGCCCTTGCCACCTGGATGCGCTGCTTCTGCAATGCACCTTAACGGGCACACAGTATGAGATGATGGTAGACCGAGAGATCACTCACATCGAATATCAAGGAGCCAGTAGCGGTGTCAACACTGGAGAAGGGGTCGTCAAGGAGGTAGATATCAGCGTCGTGGTACACGGCCCTCGCCACCTGGATGCGCTGCTTCTGCCCGCCCGACAGGTTGATCCCACGCTCCCCGATCTCCGTCTCGTCGCCACGTGGCAGCACTGCCACGTCAGACGCCAGCATAGAGGCGTGGGGATGCAAGGTGAGTGTTATAGTAAGTGCCAAATGTGTATGCAAGATGGCTGCCTGGCAGCCCAGAACAAACATGCATGCTGATCTGACAGCGGGGTTAGCAGCGAGGGCGCAAGCTTACCTGCCAGGTCAGCAGCGAGGGCACACACACACACACACAGCACGTGCTCATAGAGAGCACGGTTCATCTAGCTTCTGTTGTGATGCGCCTCCATATTCTCACCTGCCAGGTCAGCAGCGAGCGCGCACACGCGCAGCACGCGCTCGTAGAGGGCGCGGTTCATCTGCAGGCCGAAGGTGACATTGTCCCGGATGGTGCCGTTCTGAATCCACGGCGTCTGTGGCACGTGTGCTATGGTGCCCGCCACTTGCACCTGCAGAGCACGGGTGGGGGGTTGAGAGAGTTATGGAGTGAGGAGTTGAGGGGTCGAGGGGGTGAGTGGAAAGGATTGGGGGGGCAAGGGCATGAGGGAGTGAGGGGTGAGGGAGAGAGGGAATAAGGACGTCAAGGGGAGTTCCTTTACTGGAATTCCAAAGCCATGAGGAAGAGACTCTGGAGGGGACCTGTGGCTCATCTAGAGGTGAAAGATGGTGGAGTTTTCGTGCATGGTGTGGTGGTTCACATTCACGATCCCAATCGCACACTTGACTCACAATGCCGGACAGCTTGTGCATCTCCACCAGGATGCAGCTCAGCAGGCTCGACCTGCCCGACCCAACATGTGAATTTTGTAACCATCCCTCACGAACCCAGTTCGTATTCAACGTAACACTGTCATATTCCCAGCCCAATTGATCGCACTCCCGACTTCAGATCGAACTCACAATGCCGGACAGCTTGTGCATTTCCCCCAGGATGCAGCTGAGCAGGCTCGACTTGCCCAATCGAGCAAGTGAGCACATTGACCATCCCTGGCCAAACCACTTCATGTTTCATCCAAGTTCGATAGCAGCCCGATTGCACTCGCAATCCCAAACCGTACTCTGTACTCACAATGCCGGACAGCTTGTGCATTTCCCCCAGGATGCAGCTGAGCAGACTCGACTTGCCCGACCCCACAGGCCCACAGATAGCCACTCGGGCTCCGCGGCCTATCTGCATGCCAATGCCCCGCAGCGTGGGGCGGTGCATGTGCTGCAGGTGCGGGGGCGGCAGGTCCCATGTGAAGGCGCCCCCGTCGACGAAAACAGCGTCCTCTGTGTCCTCTGGGGAGAGCCATGAGACTGCTGTGACCTCGATCTCCTGCGCTGACTGGTACCTGCATTGGGGACAGAGAGAAGAAAAGGTATTCAAAGAAAAGGACAGACAGGGAAGGAGCGTCCCCGTCGACGAAAACAGCGTCCTCTGTGTCCTCCGGGGAGAGCCATGAGACTGCTGTGACCTCTATCTCCTGCGCTGACTGGTACCTGCCGTGGGGAGAGAAATGGGGGCAGGGATGGGAAGCGGCACAGGGAAGGGTATGGGGTTGGGGCGGTGCATGTGCTGCAGGTGCGGGGGGGGCAGGTGCATGTGCTGCAGGTGCGGGAGGGCCAGGTTTCAGGTGAAAACGCCCCTATCGACAAAGACAGCGTCCTGTGTGTCTTCCGGGGAGAGCCATGAGACTGCTGTCACCTCGATCTCCTGCGCTGACTGGTACTTGGATGAATGGGAATGGGAATGGGAATGGGGAATGGGGAGGGCGATATGGAGGGGGAGGGGGGTCAGGGAGCATGGAGCAAGGAGCAGTCCAGCAGGGGAACAGCCTGGCAGTCTTCTGGAGAACAGATGTGTAGCAATGCCACCATTGCGAATACCTGGGGTACCAGACTGCAAGACAGGTCGCTCCATACCCAGCGAGCAGGAAATTAAGCAGTCTGGAGGCACAGCTTACCTGGCGAGGCGATCGAGAGACACGAGTGCTTGAGAGATGGAGGAGAGGACATCTGGGAACGAGCGGAGGGGCTCCTGTGAGGCGGAGAGGTGGAAAAGAGCGGGGAAAGGAAGGGAGGCAGGAGCAAGGAGGGGAGTGGGAGGAGATGAGTGTGGGAGCATGAGATGAAGTAGATAGCAGGCAGTGGAAGAGAAGGTGGAATACAGGATAAGGTGTGAAAGGGAAGAGCTACGCAGAAAATAAGTGCGAACAGAGAGCACCAGCAGACAACAGGGACAAAGATAGGAACCTAGGCACCCTCTACTAAAGGCCACCTTCCTCATAAAGAGACCTCCCTCCCTCCCCGACATCCAGAGGAACACGATGTTGGTCGCCATGAGGTGGTTGCCGCGTGCCAGCCATGCCGGTTTTTTGAGACGTCTCAAAAACACCCTCTCTACATGTTGGCCACCATGAGGTGGTTGCCGCGCGCCAGCCATGCATGCCGGCTGCACTCACCTAGAGAGAGCCTATGGCCTACCTGGGTTATGGCATGCTCAGCGAGGGAAAAATCACATGAGAAAGCATCAGATTCCCACCCACCTGGAGGATCCGGAAGGTGGCGATGGCAGTGAAAATGGAGGCGGCGGAAAGAGGCTCCTCGAAGGCGACGCAGGCAGCGAATGTGGCGGAGGCGACGAGGAGAGGAGACATCCAGAGGAAGACGATGTTGGCCGCCATGAGGTAGTTGTAGCGCGCTAGCCACGCCGCCTCCTCTGCACGATAGTCCTCTATCTGCTCCAGGAACCGCCCCTCCCACGCATGCAGCTTTATCACCTGCGGAGGCGGAGGGAAAAAGGTAGAGGGTGAGGGGAGGTGGGTGTGTTTCAATAACCATCAACATCTAACCATGCCGCCTCCTCTGCACGATAGTCCTCTATCTGCTCCAAGAACCGCCCCTCCCATGCATGCAGCTTTGTCACCTGCGGGTGGAAAGGAGAGGGGGAGTGGGGAGGAGTGGGAGGTGGTGCGGAGGGGTGAGGTTCGATGAAGACACCTCAACATCCAGTCATGCCGCCTCCTCCGCCGGATAGTCCTCTATCTGCTCCAGGAACCGCCCCTTCCATGTGTGCAGCTTTATCACCTGCAGGTGGGAGGGAAAATGCTTCCAAGTATGCTTGTAGTTCCGAAGCACCTCAATGAATGAATGGGGTGTCACATGATCCGTTGCAAGTTTACCCCATAAATTTCCCTGCATCAGAGGGACACATGTTTTCTGCCATGAATTTCCCTCTCATGTGCTTTCCTTTTGGCATGAGCAAACTACCGGTTGGCCTTTTGGTTCAAGGCGAACCGGTTCGGATTCTGCTCTATCCGGTTCTGACTTTGAGTCGACTCAAAATGTGCTTTCCTTTTGGCATGAGCAAACTACTGGTTGGCCGTCCGGTGCAAGGCAAACCGGTTCTGATTCTGCTCGATCCGGTTCTGCCGGTTCGAATGGTTTGGTTTGGAGCCACGGTGAGACGCGCATCAAGCCGCGCTATATTAATTTAGATAAAGAAAACACCATCGCAACCAACTCCGCTCAACCCCCCCCCATGCAGAATCATTCCACGGGGATCCTTTCCCTAAAAGCCTGATGAATGAAGGTTCAGGGCTAACCAAACCAGAACCGGATTCGGTTCGACCAATCATGGTTGGGCCAGGTACCGGCGTGGTCACAAACAAGTTCGACTCGAACCGGTTCTGGTTCGAGTGAGCAATAACACAACCGGTTCTGGTTCGAGTGAGCAATAACACAACCGGTTCTGGTTCGAGTGAGCAATAACACAACCGGTTCTGGTTCGAGTGAGCAATAACACAACCGGTTCTGGTTCGAGTGAGCAATAACACAACCGGTTCTGGTTCGAGTGAGCAATAACACAACCGGTTCTGGTTCGAGTGAGCAATAACACAACCGGTTCTGGTTCGAGTGAGCAATAACACAACCGGTTCTGGTTCGAGTGAGCAATAACACAACCGGTTCTGGTTCGAGTGAGCAATAACACAACCGGTTCTGGTTCGAGTGAGCAATAACACAACCGGTTCTGGTTCGAGTGAGCAATAACACAACCGGTTCTGGTTCGAGTGAGCAATAACACAACCGGTTCTGGTTCGAGTGAGCAATAACACAACCGGTTCTGGTTCGAGTGAGCAATAACACAACCGGTTCTGGTTCGAGTGAGCAATAACACAACCGGTTCTGGTTCGAGTGAGCAATAACACAACCGGTTCTGGTTCGAGTGAGCAATAACACAACCGGTTCTGGTTCGAGTGAGCAATAACACAACCGGTTCTGGTTCGAGTGAGCAATAACACAACCGGTTCTGGTTCGAGTGAGCAATAACACAACCGGTTCTGGTTCGAGTGAGCAATAACACAACCGGTTCTGGTTCGAGTGAGCAATAACACAACCGGTTCTGGTTCGAGTGAGCAATAACACAACCGGTTCTGGTTCGAGTGAGCAATAACACAACCGGTTCTGGTTCGAGTGAGCAATAACACAACCGGTTCTGGTTCGAGTGAGCAATAACACAACCGGTTCTGGTTCGAGTGAGCAATAACACAACCGGTTCTGGTTCGAGTGAGCAATAACACAACCGGTTCTGGTTCGAGTGAGCAATAACACAACCGGTTCTGGTTCGAGTGAGCAATAACACAACCGGTTCTGGTTCGAGTGAGCAATAACACAACCGGTTCTGGTTCGAGTGAGCAATAACACAACCGGTTCTGGTTCGAGTGAGCAATAACACAACCGGTTCTGGTTCGAGTGAGCAATAACACAACCGGTTCTGGTTCGAGTGAGCAATAACACAACCGGTTCTGGTTCGAGTGAGCAATAACACAACCGGTTCTGGTTCGAGTGAGCAATAACACAACCGGTTCTGGTTCGAGTGAGCAATAACACAACCGGTTCTGGTTCGAGTGAGCAATAACACAACCGGTTCTGGTTCGAGTGAGCAATAACACAACCGGTTCTGGTTCGAGTGAGCAATAACACAACCGGTTCTGGTTCGAGTGAGCAATAACACAACCGGTTCTGGTTCGAGTGAGCAATAACACAACCGGTTCTGGTTCGAGTGAGCAATAACACAACCGGTTCTGGTTCGAGTGAGCAATAACACAACCGGTTCTGGTTCGAGTGAGCAATAACACAACCGGTTCTGGTTCGAGTGAGCAATAACACAACCGGTTCTGGTTCGAGTGAGCAATAACACAACCGGTTCTGGTTCGAGTGAGCAATAACACAACCGGTTCTGGTTCGAGTGAGCAATAACACAACCGGTTCTGGTTCGAGTGAGCAATAACACAACCGGTTCTGGTTCGAGTGAGCAATAACACAACCGGTTCTGGTTCGAGTGAGCAATAACACAACCGGTTCTGGTTCGAGTGAGCAATAACACAACCGGTTCTGGTTCGAGTGAGCAATAACACAACCGGTTCTGGTTCGAGTGAGCAATAACACAACCGGTTCTGGTTCGAAGTGAGCAATAACACAACCGGTTCTGGTTCGAGTGAGCAATAACACAACCGGTTCTGGTTCGAGTGAGCAATAACACAACCGGTTCTGGTTCGAGTGAGCAATAACACAACCGGTTCTGGTTCGAGTGAGCAATAACACAACCGGTTCTGGTTCGAGTGAGCAATAACACAACCGGTTCTGGTTCGAGTGAGCAATAACACAACCGGTTCTGGTTCGAGTGAGCAATAACACAACCGGTTCTGGTTCGAGTGAGCAATAACACAACCGGTTCTGGTTCGAGTGAGCAATAACACAACCGGTTCTGGTTCGAGTGAGCAATAACACAACCGGTTCTGGTTCGAGTGAGCAATAACACAACCGGTTCTGGTTCGAGTGAGCAATAACACAACCGGTTCTGGTTCGAGTGAGCAATAACACAACCGGTTCTGGTTCGAGTGAGCAATAACACAACCGGTTCTGGTTCGAGTGAGCAATAACACAACCGGTTCTGGTTCGAGTGAGCAATAACACAACCGGTTCTGGTTCGAGTGAGCAATAACACAACCGGTTCTGGTTCGAGTGAGCAATAACACAACCGGTTCTGGTTCGAGTGAGCAATAACACAACCGGTTCTGGTTCGAGTGAGCAATAACACAACCGGTTCTGGTTCGAGTGAGCAATAACACAACCGGTTCTGGTTCGAGTGAGCAATAACACAACCGGTTCTGGTTCGAGTGAGCAATAACACAACCGGTTCTGGTTCGAGTGAGCAATAACACAACCGGTTCTGGTTCGAGTGAGCAATAACACAACCGGTTCTGGTTCGAGTGAGCAATAACACAACCGGTTCTGGTTCGAGTGAGCAATAACACAACCGGTTCTGGTTCGAGTGAGCAATAACACAACCGGTTCTGGTTCGAGTGAGCAATAACACAACCGGTTCTGGTTCGAGTGAGCAATAACACAACCGGTTCTGGTTCGAGTGAGCAATAACACAACCGGTTCTGGTTCGAGTGAGCAATAACACAACCGGTTCTGGTTCGAGTGAGCAATAACACAACCGGTTCTGGTTCGAGTGAGCAATAACACAACCGGTTCTGGTTCGAGTGAGCAATAACACAACCGGTTCTGGTTCGAGTGAGCAATAACACAACCGGTTCTGGTTCGAGTGAGCAATAACACAACCGGTTCTGGTTCGAGTGAGCAATAACACAACCGGTTCTGGTTCGAGTGAGCAATAACACAACCGGTTCTGGTTCGAGTGAGCAATAACACAACCGGTTCTGGTTCGAGTGAGCAATAACACAACCGGTTCTGGTTCGAGTGAGCAATAACACAACCGGTTCTGGTTCGAGTGAGCAATAACACAACCGGTTCTGGTTCGAGTGAGCAATAACACAACCGGTTCTGGTTCGAGTGAGCAATAACACAACCGGTTCTGGTTCGAGTGAGCAATAACACAACCGGTTCTGGTTCGAGTGAGCAATAACACAACCGGTTCTGGTTCGAGTGAGCAATAACACAACCGGTTCTGGTTCGAGTGAGCAATAACACAACCGGTTCTGGTTCGAGTGAGCAATAACACAACCGGTTCTGGTTCGAGTGAGCAATAACACAACCGGTTCTGGTTCGAGTGAGCAATAACACAACCGGTTCTGGTTCGAGTGAGCAATAACACAACCGGTTCTGGTTCGAGTGAGCAATAACACAACCGGTTCTGGTTCGAGTGAGCAATAACACAACCGGTTCTGGTTCGAGTGAGCAATAACACAACCGGTTCTGGTTCGAGTGAGCAATAACACAACCGGTTCTGGTTCGAGTGAGCAATAACACAACCGGTTCTGGTTCGAGTGAGCAATAACACAACCGGTTCTGGTTCGAGTGAGCAATAACACAACCGGTTCTGGTTCGAGTGAGCAATAACACAACCGGTTCTGGTTCGAGTGAGCAATAACACAACCGGTTCTGGTTCGAGTGAGCAATAACACAACCGGTTCTGGTTCGAGTGAGCAATAACACAACCGGTTCTGGTTCGAGTGAGCAATAACACAACCGGTTCTGGTTCGAGTGAGCAATAACACAACCGGTTCTGGTTCGAGTGAGCAATAACACAACCGGTTCTGGTTCGAGTGAGCAATAACACAACCGGTTCTGGTTCGAGTGAGCAATAACACAACCGGTTCTGGTTCGAGTGAGCAATAACACAACCGGTTCTGGTTCGAGTGAGCAATAACACAACCGGTTCTGGTTCGAGTGAGCAATAACACAACCGGTTCTGGTTCGAGTGAGCAATAACACAACCGGTTCTGGTTCGAGTGAGCAATAACACAACCGGTTCTGGTTCGAGTGAGCAATAACACAACCGGTTCTGGTTCGAGTGAGCAATAACACAACCGGTTCTGGTTCGAGTGAGCAATAACACAACCGGTTCTGGTTCGAGTGAGCAATAACACAACCGGTTCTGGTTCGAGTGAGCAATAACACAACCGGTTCTGGTTCGAGTGAGCAATAACACAACCGGTTCTGGTTCGAGTGAGCAATAACACAACCGGTTCTGGTTCGAGTGAGCAATAACACAACCGGTTCTGGTTCGAGTGAGCAATAACACAACCGGTTCTGGTTCGAGTGAGCAATAACACAACCGGTTCTGGTTCGAGTGAGCAATAACACAACCGGTTCTGGTTCGAGTGAGCAATAACACAACCGGTTCTGGTTCGAGTGAGCAATAACACAACCGGTTCTGGTTCGAGTGAGCAATAACACAACCGGTTCTGGTTCGAGTGAGCAATAACACAACCGGTTCTGGTTCGAGTGAGCAATAACACAACCGGTTCTGGTTCGAGTGAGCAATAACACAACCGGTTCTGGTTCGAGTGAGCAATAACACAACCGGTTCTGGTTCGAGTGAGCAATAACACAACCGGTTCTGGTTCGAGTGAGCAATAACACAACCGGTTCTGGTTCGAGTGAGCAATAACACAACCGGTTCTGGTTCGAGTGAGCAATAACACAACCGGTTCTGGTTCGAGTGAGCAATAACACAACCGGTTCTGGTTCGAGTGAGCAATAACACAACCGGTTCTGGTTCGAGTGAGCATACACAACCGGTTCTGGTTCGAGTGAGCACAACCGGTTCTGGTTCGAGTGAGCAATAACACAACCGGTTCTGGTTCGAGTGAGCAATAACACAACCGGTTCTGGTTCGAGTGAGCAATAACACAACCGGTTCTGGTTCGAGTGAGCAATAACACAACCGGTTCTGGTTCGAGTGAGCAATAACACAACCGGTTCTGGTTCGAGTGAGCAATAACACAACCGGTTCTGGTTCGAGTGAGCAATAACACAACCGGTTCTGGTTCGAGTGAGCAATAACACAACCGGTTCTGGTTCGAGTGAGCAATAACACAACCGGTTCTGGTTCGAGTGAGCAATAACACAACCGGTTCTGGTTCGAGTGAGCAATAACACAACCGGTTCTGGTTCGAGTGAGCAATAACACAACCGGTTCTGGTTCGAGTGAGCAATAACACAACCGGTTCTGGTTCGAGTGAGCAATAACACAACCGGTTCTGGTTCGAGTGAGCAATAACACAACCGGTTCTGGTTCGAGTGAGCAATAACACAACCGGTTCTGGTTCGAGTGAGCAATAACACAACCGGTTCTGGTTCGAGTGAGCAATAACACAACCGGTTCTGGTTCGAGTGAGCAATAACACAACCGGTTCTGGTTCGAGTGAGCAATAACACAACCGGTTCTGGTTCGAGTGAGCAATAACACAACCGGTTCTGGTTCGAGTGAGCAATAACACAACCGGTTCTGGTTCGAGTGAGCAATAACACAACCGGTTCTGGTTCGAGTGAGCAATAACACAACCGGTTCTGGTTCGAGTGAGCAATAACACAACCGGTTCTGGTTCGAGTGAGCAATAACACAACCGGTTCTGGTTCGAGTGAGCAATAACACAACCGGTTCTGGTTCGAGTGAGCAATAACACAACCGGTTCTGGTTCGAGTGAGCAATAACACAACCGGTTCTGGTTCGAGTGAGCAATAACACAACCGGTTCTGGTTCGAGTGAGCAATAACACAACCGGTTCTGGTTCGAGTGAGCAATAACACAACCGGTTCTGGTTCGAGTGAGCAATAACACAACCGGTTCTGGTTCGAGTGAGCAATAACACAACCGGTTCTGGTTCGAGTGAGCAATAACACAACCGGTTCTGGTTCGAGTGAGCAATAACACAACCGGTTCTGGTTCGAGTGAGCAATAACACAACCGGTTCTGGTTCGAGTGAGCAATAACACAACCGGTTCTGGTTCGAGTGAGCAATAACACAACCGGTTCTGGTTCGAGTGAGCAATAACACAACCGGTTCTGGTTCGAGTGAGCAATAACACAACCGGTTCTGGTTCGAGTGAGCAATAACACAACCGGTTCTGGTTCGAGTGAGCAATAACACAACCGGTTCTGGTTCGAGTGAGCAATAACACAACCGGTTCTGGTTCGAGTGAGCAATAACACAACCGGTTCTGGTTCGAGTGAGCAATAACACAACCGGTTCTGGTTCGAGTGAGCAATAACACAACCGGTTCTGGTTCGAGTGAGCAATAACACAACCGGTTCTGGTTCGAGTGAGCAATAACACAACCGGTTCTGGTTCGAGTGAGCAATAACACAACCGGTTCTGGTTCGAGTGAGCAATAACACAACCGGTTCTGGTTCGAGTGAGCAATAACACAACCGGTTCTGGTTCGAGTGAGCAATAACACAACCGGTTCTGGTTCGAGTGAGCAATAACACAACCGGTTCTGGTTCGAGTGAGCAATAACACAACCGGTTCTGGTTCGAGTGAGCAATAACACAACCGGTTCTGGTTCGAGTGAGCAATAACACAACCGGTTCTGGTTCGAGTGAGCAATAACACAACCGGTTCTGGTTCGAGTGAGCAATAACACAACCGGTTCTGGTTCGAGTGAGCAATAACACAACCGGTTCTGGTTCGAGTGAGCAATAACACAACCGGTTCTGGTTCGAGTGAGCAATAACACAACCGGTTCTGGTTCGAGTGAGCAATAACACAACCGGTTCTGGTTCGAGTGAGCAATAACACAACCGGTTCTGGTTCGAGTGAGCAATAACACAACCGGTTCTGGTTCGAGTGAGCAATAAACACAACCGGTTCTGGTTCGAGTGAGCAATAACACAACCGGTTCTGGTTCGAGTGAGCAATAACACAACCGGTTCTGGTTCGAGTGAGCAATAACACAACCGGTTCTGGTTCGAGTGAGCAATAACACAACCGGTTCTGGTTCGAGTGAGCAATAACACAACCGGTTCTGGTTCGAGTGAGCAATAACACAACCGGTTCTGGTTCGAGTGAGCAATAACACAACCGGTTCTGGTTCGAGTGAGCAATAACACAACCGGTTCTGGTTCGAGTGAGCAATAACACAACCGGTTCTGGTTCGAGTGAGCAATAACACAACCGGTTCTGGTTCGAGTGAGCAATAACACAACCGGTTCTGGTTCGAGTGAGCAATAACACAACCGGTTCTGGTTCGAGTGAGCAATAACACAACCGGTTCTGGTTCGAGTGAGCAATAACACAACCGGTTCTGGTTCGAGTGAGCAATAACACAACCGGTTCTGGTTCGAGTGAGCAATAACACAACCGGTTCTGGTTCGAGTGAGCAATAACACAACCGGTTCTGGTTCGAGTGAGCAATAACACAACCGGTTCTGGTTCGAGTGAGCAATAACACAACCGGTTCTGGTTCGAGTGAGCAATAACACAACCGGTTCTGGTTCGAGTGAGCAATAACACAACCGGTTCTGGTTCGAGTGAGCAATAACACAACCGGTTCTGGTTCGAGTGAGCAATAACACAACCGGTTCTGGTTCGAGTGAGCAATAACACAACCGGTTCTGGTTCGAGTGAGCAATAACACAACCGGTTCTGGTTCGAGTGAGCAATAACACAACCGGTTCTGGTTCGAGTGAGCAATAACACAACCGGTTCTGGTTCGAGTGAGCAATAACACAACCGGTTCTGGTTCGAGTGAGCAATAACACAACCGGTTCTGGTTCGAGTGAGCAATAACACAACCGGTTCTGGTTCGAGTGAGCAATAACACAACCGGTTCTGGTTCGAGTGAGCAATAACACAACCGGTTCTGGTTCGAGTGAGCAATAACACAACCGGTTCTGGTTCGAGTGAGCAATAACACAACCGGTTCTGGTTCGAGTGAGCAATAACACAACCGGTTCTGGTTCGAGTGAGCAATAACACAACCGGTTCTGGTTCTCATGTATTCCATCTCCCGTGCAATCCCCTTTGCACTTCGTTAAAGCGAGGGTACACATTCAACTCGGCTGTTTGTGGGCGAATTGTTAGAATACTCCTATTCTTTGTATCATGCATAGACTAGCAAGATTTGGGTAGATATACGCACCCAAGTTTATCTTGGGTGTACAGCTAGAAAATACCCTAGTTGAGGGGTTGAGTCAACTTAACCTTGACCCAATATTGTGTCCCCCGCTGGATGGGTGTACGATAATTGGAGGACCCACTTATTGTGGTCAGCCCAACCTTGACCACCTTATTAGTCCCACCAATTATTGAACCCCAACCTAGTGGGACCAGTAATTATTGCGGTCAAGCCAGAGTTGACTCAACCCACACTGCATCCATCTCAATTATGTAAACTCCCTCGTTTACCAATCAACCATGATTCTGAATTCTCACAAACCCTCTGTCCAACCGAGTTGAATGTGCACCCTCGCATTAACACCCACAAACCACACCCACACCCACAACCACCATGTGATTGAAAGAACATGACCGGCAGGCTGTGCGTTCCTTCTGGCATTCTCTCGCCTGCCCCGCCACCAGCAGCTGAGCCCACATCATCAGCACCATGGTCGCCACGCCTGCTCTCGCTCTCTCTCTCACTCCCGTCTACTCACCCTCGCTCCCCTTCCCCCTCTCTCACCTTCATGTTGTTGAGTGCCTCTGTGGTGGCTTTGAGTCTCAGATCCTGCCAGGCGGTTCGCTCCTTCTGGCACTCCCTCGCCTGCCCCGCCACCAGCAGCTGAGCCCACATCATCAGCACCATGGTCGCCACGCCTGCCAGCGTGCCGGCGGGGCCCACAGTGGCGTGCAGCAGCAGCAGCGCGAGGAGGATTTGTAGAGGCAGCGTCCAGAGATTGTTCAGCTGAAACATCATGTCCGCTACTCGCTGGGGGAAGGGGGGGTCAGAGAAGCGGGATTGGGTTAAGAAGGAAAATGGGGATGGGTGCGAGGGTGTGGAGGAGAAAAGAGAGCGTCCAGAGGTTGTTCAGCTGAAACACCATGTCCGCCACTCGCTGGGAAGAGAGGGGGGAAGGGGGAGAACGGGGGGACGAGAAGGGGTTGAGAAAGAAGGAACTTCACTGCCGCCACACGAGCTCAGTACGCTGATGCTATCACTCACACACACACGCAGCTTTGAGACGCCTCAAAACACGAGCTCGGTACACAGGAGCATCACTCCCACACGCACACGCAGAGCTTCTCTTCTCTCGCAGCCATCTCCACCAGCATGCCTCCTAGCAGCACGCCGCACACCCAGTACCCTCTTGCCTCCCAACAGGCAAACATGAAAAGCCATTACGGTCCCCCTGTTGTAATTGCAAACATGAAAAGCAAGGTGGCACCAGTTGTGGCGAGAGACAAGCCCAGTTGTGGCCACAACTGGGCTTGTCTCTCGCCACAACTCGGCTTGTCTCTTGCCACAGCTGGGCTTTTCTCTCGCCACAGCTGGGCTTGTCTCTCGCCACAACTGGGCTTGTCTCTCGCCACAACTGGGCTTGTCTCTCGCCACAACTGGGCTTGTCTCCCGCCACAACTGGGCTTGTCTCCCGCCACAACTGGGCTTGTCTCCCGCCACAACTGGGCTTGTCTCCCGCCACAACTGGGCTTGTCTCCCGCCACAACTGGGCTTGTCTCTTGCCACAACTGGGCTTGTCTCTTGCCACAACTGGGCTTGTCTCTCGCCACAGCTGGGCTTGTCTCTCGCCACAACTGGGCTTGTCTCTCGCCACAACTGGGCTTGTCTCTCGCCACAACTGGGCTTGTCCATCGCCACAACTGGGCTTGTCCATCGCCACAACTGGGCTTGTCTCTCGCCACAACTGCACTTGTCTCTCGCCACAACTGGGCTTGTCTCTCGCCACAACTGGGCTTGTCTCTCGCCACAACTGGGCTTGTCTCTCGCCACAACTGGGCTTGTCTCTCGCCACAACTGTGCTTGTCTCTCGCAACAACTGGGCTTGTCTCTCGCCACAACTGGGCTTGTCTCTCGCCACAACTGGGCTTGTCTCTCGCCACAACTGGGCTTGTCTCTCGCCACAACTGGGCTTGTCTCTCGCCACAAGTGGGCTTGTCTCTCGCCACAACTGGGCTTGTCTCTCGCCACAACTGGGTTTGTCTCTCGCCACAACTGGGCTTGTCTCTCGCCACAACTGGCTTGTCTCTCGCCACAACTGGGCTTGTCTCTCGCCACAACTGGGCTTGTCTCTCGCCACAACTGGGCTTGTCTCTCGCCACAACTGGGCTTGTCTCTCGCCACAACTGGGCTTGTCTCTCGCCACAACTGGGTTTGTCTCTCGCCACAACTGGGCTTGTCTCTCGCCACAACTGGCTTGTCTCTCGCCACAACTGGGCTTGTCTCTCGCCACAACTGGGCTTGTCTCTCGCAACAACTGGGCTTGTCTCTCGCCACAACTGGGCTTGTCTCTCGCCACAACTGGGCTTGTCTCTCGCCACAACTGGGCTTGTCTCTCGCCACAACTGGGCTTGTCTCTCGCCACAAGTGGGCTTGTCTCTCGCCACAACTGGGCTTGTCTCTCGCCACAACTGGGTTTGTCTCTCGCCACAACTGGGCTTGTCTCTCGCCACAACTGGCTCGTCTCTCGCCACAACTGGGCTTGTCTCTCGCCACAACTGGGCTTGTCTCTCGCCACAACTGGGCTTGTCTCTCGCCACAACTGGGCTTGTCTCTCGCCACAACATGAAAAACACTTACGACCCCCAACAGGATAACATGAAAAACCCTCCCCCACATCCAGCACCATCTCCCCCATGGGGTGCGTGTGCCTTGCAGCATTACTCAACCTGAGCGCCTTGTCAAACACGTGGCCTGTGAGCGCCGCCCTGACATTCATCCCAAGGATTTCAGAGCGGAAGTACAACTGGTGCTGTGCAGCTGTCTCCACCAGCTTGCACCCCAGCAGCACCCCAAGCTAGCACACAACTACCTCCAAACCCCGAAACCCTAAACCCGCCAGCCCCATCCCGTCACCTGCATGTCTAGAGCCATGTAGTTGATGATTTCCCTCATGGGTGCGTGTGGCGCGCAGCATTGCTCAGCCTAAGCGCCTTGTCAAACACGTGGCCTGTGAGTGCCACCCTGACATTCATCCCGAGGATGTCCGAGCGGAAGTAGAACTGGTGCTGTGCCACAGTCTCTACAAGCTTGCACCCCAGCAGCACCCCGAGCAGCACCCCAAGTTAGCACACAGCTACGCCCAAACCCGAAACCCCGAACCCTAGACACCCATCCCCTTACCTGCACGTCCAGCGCCATGTAGTTGACGATCTCTCCCATGGGATGCGTGTGCCGTGCAGAATTGCTCAGCCTCAACGCTTTATCGAAAACATGCCCTGTGAGCGCCGCCCGCACGTTCATCCCGAGGATGTCGGAGCGGAAGTAGAACTGGTGCTGAGCCACCGTCTCTATCAGCTTGCACCCCAGCAGCACCCCGCACAGCCAGTACCCCTCCCACTGCGCCCACGGGTCGTCTGGTGCCGCGCCCGGGCTTGGAGCTGGTGCCGCTGCTGCTGCTGCGGCTGCTGGGACTGCTGCTGCTGCTGCTGCGGTTGCTGCTGTTTGGGTGACGAAGGCTGCAGCAGAAGAGGCAGCAGCAGCCGCCGTAGCAGAGGTGACGGAGGCGATGGTTTGGGCAGTTGCGGTGAGGTTGGAAGCAGCAGCAGAAGCAGCGGAAGCAACAGAAGCAGCAGAAACAGCGGAAGCAGCCGAGCCAAACAGTCCGGTCAAGCCAAAGGCCCCAGTCAGGCTCGTTCCCAGAGCTGCTAACGGCCCAGCCAGATCAACATTCCAGGTTCCAGTGCTGCTGCTGCAGCTGCCACCACCAGCACCAGCATCACCGGCAACCCCAGCAGCACAAACTTCCGCAGCGCCTCCTCCCCCGAAAGTCAGCACAGGCACGTCCCCCCCAACCACCCTCACGAATTCCGCCAGCAGCGACGGGCCTATGTACAGTAGCACCGTTTCCAGCCCTGCCCAGAACGCAATTGCCAGGAACTTTCGCCAGTAGGTGAGCCAGAGAGTCCACGTGATGGACGGTTGTTGGAGCGGCGTGTAGAGCCGGATCCGATCCCAGGTGCGGTAGAAAGCTTCTCGGGCAGCATCCGCCGTGTCCCAATCTGCTAGGAACGGAATGTCGGGCAGGTCTAAAGGTTTCTCGTGCCCCTTGGCGAGCAGCGGGTTGATCCACTGGAAGGTGAGAACGTTCCACCAGCCTGCCCGCTCCCAGGGGGTGACCCCCAGGTCGGTCGGCTGATCGGCCACTCCGGGCAGCCCGGAAAGAAGCGATTCGGTCAGAGGTTCGTTTGGGTGGTGAACGGGCGGCGGCTTTTGGCAAGCGACTGCGAAGAGAAAGGCTGAAATGGGCCAGGCGATGATCCCAAGGGCTGCGTCGACTGATAGAGGCACCCCCTTGTGCATCTGCACGAGTGAGTAGATCACGCTCCAGGAATTCAGGACAAACACCGAAGTCCACCAGAGGCGGAGAGTGAAGAAGTGCCACGTGGCACCTTGTCTTTTCTCCTCCATGACCGACCAGGACATGCCGAACCACGCCACACACTGCACGATCGGCAGCAGGTCTTCAAATATGGGGCAATCGGACCATTCCGGCCGCCACCCTGGCCAGACGTACCACAGAGAAACCACCAGATTCGCCAGCCCTACCAGCATGGTCAGCACCACTGTAACCGTGTACAGAGACCCTTCTAAAACGCGTACGTGGCGCCGGTGGTGCAGCCAGTGCTGCTGCTGCAGCTGCTCGGGTGTGACGCCGGGGCCGAGGCGGGGGGCGGGCTGGAGGGCGCGCACGAGGGAGGCGAGGGCGACGAGGAGGAGGAAGAGGAGGTGCGTGTCGGCCATAAGGGCGTGCTGCGAGCAGGGGTCCATGAGGACAGCTTGCACTGTCGCCCACTGCTGCTGCCATGCCGGGAGGAAGGGTTCGACGGCTGGCGTGATGTAGGGCGAGAGGTGCGACCAGAGGAAGGCGCAGAGCTTGAGGAAAAGAGTCCCTGGGGGGATGGGGAGGGGGGAAAGTGGAGGGGATTGGAAGGGGAGGGGAAAGGGAAGGTGGGTGGGAGTAAGGGAAGGGCGAGAGGTGCGACCAGAGGAAGGCGCAGAGCTTGAGGAAGAGAGTCCCTGGGGGGATGGGGAGGGGGGAAAGTGGAGGGGATTGGAAGGGGAGGGGAAAGGGAAGGTGGGTGGGAGTAAGGGAAGGGCGAGAGGTGCGACCAGAGGAAGGCGCAGAGCTTGAGGAAGAGAGTCCCTGGGGGGATGGGGAGGGGGGAAAGTGGAGGGGATTGGAAGGGGAGGGGAAAGGGAAGGTGGGTGGGAGTAAGGGAAGGGCGAGAGGTGCGACCAGAGGAAGGCGCAGAGCTTGAGGAAGAGAGTCCCTGGGGGGATGGGGAGGGGGGAAAGTGGAGGGGATTGGAAGGGGAGGGGAAAGGGAAGGTGGGTGGGAGTAAGGGAAGGGCGAGAGGTGCGACCAGAGGAAGGCGCAGAGCTTGAGGAAGAGAGTCCCTGGGGGGATGGGGAGGGGGGAAAGTGGAGGGGATTGGAAGGGGAGGGGAAAGGGAAGGTGGGTGGGAGTAAGGGAAGGGCGAGAGGTGCGACCAGAGGAAGGCGCAGAGCTTGAGGAAGAGAGTCCCTGGGGGGATGGGGAGGGGGGAAAGTGGAGGGGATTGGAAGGGGAGGGGAAAGGGAAGGTGGGTGGGAGTAAGGGAAGGGCGAGAGGTGCGACCAGAGGAAGGCGCAGAGCTTGAGGAAGAGAGTCCCTGGGGGGATGGGGAGGGGGGAAAGTGGAGGGGATTGGAAGGGGAGGGGAAAGGGAAGGTGGGTGGGAGTAAGGGAAGGGCGAGAGGTGCGACCAGAGGAAGGCGCAGAGCTTGAGAAGAGAGTCCCTGGGGGAATGGGGGGAATGGGATGAGGAGGGGAAGGGGAAGGGGAGGGCAGGTGGGACTAAGGTGAGTGGTGAGGGGAGGGAGGCGAGGGCGACGAGGAGGAGGAAGGGGAGGTGTGTGTCGGACATGTGGTGTAGGGGACGGGAAACGGGAAGAAGAAAATGGGGAGGGGAACACAGATTGGGGGGAGCGGAGAACGGATATGGCGGGGCGGAAAACGGATAGGGGGGAGAGGAAGACGGATAGAGGGGAGGGAACGACGGATAGGGGGGAGGGAAAGACGGATAGGGAGGAGGGTAGACGGATAGGGCGGAGAGAAGACGGATAAGGAGGAGAGGAAGACGGATACGGGGGGAAGAAGACGGATAAAGGGGAGTGAAGACAGATAAGGGAGACGGAAGATGGTTAAGGGGAAGCAAAGACGGACAAGGGGGAGGGTAAGACGAAAAGAGGGGAGATAAGACGGATAGAGGGTAGGGAAGACAGACAGGGGAGAGGGGAAGACAGAAACGGGGGAGGGAAGACGGATAGTGGGGAGGGGAAGACGGATAGCAAGGAGGGAAAGTAAGCCAGCACAGGGAAGGGTGAACTTCCATACGTGTTATTGGAAATTAGGAAGAAAACAAACAAACAAACAAAAAGAGCTGTCGGCCAGTACTTGCTATGGTGGCGCGATTCCCAGGTGTAATGAAGCGGGTTACGCAGGAAGGGTGGAATCAGGGGGAAATAAAAGGTCGGCTGAGGGTGGGGAGGAGGGGTTAGTTATAGGCTAAACGGGTGGAAATAGACAACAGCAAAGGTGAAGCTTGAAGAAAGGGTTGAGGAGAGGTGTTTGAAGGAATGGGTAAGCTGGGACGAGTGTAGTTTTTCAAGTATCAGTTGGTCAAGAGTGGCTCGAAGAAGCTCCTCCGTTGGTCAGTCCGTCGAGATTGACATGGACTGAAGGAAATGACGGAAGTCGTGACGGTAACGTGTTTCGCCGATGCTCTGCCAGATGATTCACTGGTTGGCATTCATTATGACTAACTAATCTACTAGAGAGTACCGCGTTATGAGGCAGGCGCTCGCGAACCATAAGGGGAAAGGGGTAACTTCGCGAGAAAATAATAAGGTCGTCGCGACGAGGCTTACGCACATGCCACGTGCCAGCTGAAATCTTCAGGCTTCAGGTCCACAGAGCTGCTGAAATGCCACGTGGGAGACTGCAAGACTCCGGTCGCGGACCCATTTCTGTTCACAATCCACGTGCCAAACGCCGCCTCTCTGTAACCAACCATGACTAGGAGTAGTCTTCCGAGCCGCGTTCGCTGATAGTGTATCCTACTAGAATGTTGGTACGGACAGACTGATGTAAGTCACTAATACGGACTAATGCTGGCCTTTCTGGAATTTGATCTGATGCTGCGGCCCTGAATCCCACTACGAGCGGCGGTGGTCTCGACGAGCGACGTTCTAATGTGGTTCCACGCCTCGCACAGACCATGGCTCCTCGTATTCTCGATACGCGAGGTCCATGGAACACACATCACCTCTGAAGCAAACCAAAACCGAGGGATTTGTTCACTGATGGTCCCGAGGTGTGCAAATAGACATCTCCGTTTACATAACAACTACCTGACAGAAACTAGAGGGATTCTCAACTTCAAATACACACCAAGGCGTTAATGTCTCTCAGAAAATTGGCAAAACATTAAGTTTGAAAGAATATCATAATGTTGCAGCACACAGCCAGCATACCTTATTCTTATATTGGTTCTCCATCGGCCATGCACATGATTAATATCATTGTATAGAGTTTTCAATGGACAAACGTACGAGCTCCTATTTTTCCTATAATTTCATGATTAATCTTACCATCTGATGATTACTGCTGCTGCTGCCGCTACTGCTGCTTCTGCTGGTCTCCAGGTTATAAAGAAGACTTGGAGCTTGCCACTGGATCCATCAATATTTTTTTACAACTAAAACTTGATTGCCGCTTCTGTTCGCTTTTCCAAATTCAAGGTATGGATTTGAGTGGGCATTAACGGTTGCTAAGGTATGCCACTGTTGGCATACTGTTAGATACCATTTGTCTGGCACTGTTAGCAATAGTGTGCTAAAATTTTTGCTTGTATGATAATCCATGGATATTCTTGAAATGGCAACAACACCCAAATGCAAGTTTATCCTTGTTACGAATAGTGATTATTGAAACACTACTGTGCACTCCTCACCGCAGCAATCGAAGCACGCACTACCGAGAATGAAGGCGAAAGGGCGGAAGTAACGCGAAGGGTCGCACGGTTACGAAAGCATCTGGACCGTCGGGCAGACATGTCAAAACATATGCATATTATTATCTAGGCTATATTGGGGCTAGCCTTAGGGGGTACAGAAACATTCTCGACACTCTAGTTTTGTACCCCAACCTTGACCTAATCACATCATTCTTGCCTTAGTCTCGACATGGTATCTAGAGCAGGAGGTCTCTAGGACCTAAGAATAGGGCCCACCCGTAACTGTGTTACCTCACCTACTGCCTGCCTGCCTTGCCTGCTACTGCTCGCGCGCGTGCGTCACTTTTTTTTTTTTTTTTTTTGCGCGCGCCTTGGCTGCTCGCGCGCGCGTCACTTTTTCGCGCCCGCGCAGCCCACTACTGCAGCGCCGCGCGCCGGCCCGCGTCGCCCGCACAGCCCGCGTCGAGCCCGCGCAGCCCGCCGCCGCGCGCAGCCCGCCGTCGCGTGCAGCCCGCCGTTGCCCCGCGCGCCGCGTCTGTCGCCAGCGCGGCCCGCCGCCGCGCCGCGTCCGCCGCCCGCGCGTCACGTCGGCCGCCTGCGCGGCCCGCTGCTGCCTAGCGCGCTGCTTTAGGAGCTCGCGTGCGGCCGCTACTGCATGCTGCCTACTGCCTGCTGCCTCCTGCCTGCTGCCTGCTGCCTCTGTCCTTGCTTGCGGCCTGGTGCCTACTGCCTCTTGTCTGCTGCCTGCTGCCTACTGCCTTTGCCTGCTGCCATTATGACGACGCCTAACGTTCTCGCGTTCGAGCCTGGCGGTCGCCCCATAGAGTTCGCTGTGTGGTTAGACGACCTCCAACTGTTCCTTCTTACCGATGCCAAAGAGGGCGTTTCACTGTTCGATTACGTGTCTGGCACTGCCGTTGCTCCTGCTGCCGATGCTCCTGCTCTCGAACGCTCGCAGTGGCAGACTCGCGATGCTGCTGCACGCCTAGCTATTAGGAACCATCTGCCGATTACTGAGCACGCGCATTTCAGCCAGCACAAAACTGCTAAGACGCTGTACGACGCTGTAGTTGCGCGCTACTCCTCCCCGGCCACTGCAGCCATAGGTCGGCTCATGCTACCCTACCTGTTCCCCGACCTTTCCTCGTTCACCACTGCTGAGGACCTCATTTCCCACCTGCGCGCTACTGACACTCGCTTTCGTGCCGCCCTTTCAGCCGAGTTTTGCGCCGCAAACCCCCCCCCCCCGATGTACTTCACTCTCTATTTCCTCGTCACCCGCCTCCCTGACACTCTTAGCTCCATCAGGGACCACTTCCTAGCGCTAGACCCCACCACTCTCACTGTCGACGACTTCGAGAAGCACCTCCTCGCAGCAGAGAAGAACATCCTCGCTGTAGGTGCTGCTCGTGGCACTCCTCGCTCTCCCCTCTTTGAGGGGTGCTCCCCCTCCCCTCTCACCCCCTCCTACGCCTCCGCAGCTGCTGCTCACGACTACCTTGGTGCTGAGGAGGTCGGGGCTGCTTCCGCTCCTAGTGGGAAGCGTCGCAGCGGCAGGGGCGGAAAGGGTGGCAGGGGAGGTGGGGGTGGCGGTGGAGGTGGCGGTGGTGCAGGCGGCGGGGGAGGTGGAGGTGGTGGAGGCGGTCGTGGGGGTGGAGGTGGTGGAGGTGGTGGTGGGGGCAGCGGAGGCACTGGGAGCGGTGGAGGTGGCAGCAGCGGCGGTGGGGGAGGATGGAGCGGTGGTGGCAGTGGTGGTCAGGGCCAGCAGCAGTCGCAGCAGCAGCAGCAGCAGCAGCAGCGTCAGCGCCAGACCCCCACTTCCCAGCAGCTTCTTGACTGGTATGCCGGGCGTGGGGCTTCTGGGGGTCCTGGTCGCTGCCCCTATATCATTCGCACAGGTCCCCGCGCTGGTCGCCAGTGCACAGGGTTTCACACTGAGCAGCGCTGCTTCGCTCGGCTTAGCGACGCCTGGCGCGCCAAGTTTCCTGATGCTACTGAGTTCCCCAACTGGGCAGACCTGCTTAGGCGTGATGTACCTATCTTTGATCTTGACTATGAGGCTATTCTTGCTGCCATGTATGCATTGCCTGTTAGTGCTGAGGGTGACTGCTACTTGTGTGTGCCGCCTGACCCATGTATAGCCCCAGGTATAGCGCCTGTGGCACTAGGTGCTTGTGAGTCTGCTCCCCCTGGTATTGCGTCCGCACAGGCCTTGCACACCTTCACACTTGACACTGGTGCTTCCCGCTGTTTCTTTCACGACAGCACCACAGTCACTCCCCTCCCTGCACCTGTTCCTGTCTCGCTGGCTGACCCCTCTGGGGGCCCAGTGCTTGCACGGTCTTCCACTGTGCTTCCGTGTCCGGCGGTCCCGTCTGGTGAGCTGTCTGGTCTCCACCTCCCCTCGTTCTCTACGAACTTGGTGAGCAACGCCGTCCTTCAGGATCACTGGGTTGACACCTTTACTCCTGGAGGACAGCGTGTGGCGATCTGCACGTGCTCCCGAACCGGCCGTCACCTGGCCACGTTCACACGTGCGCCTGGGTCTAGTCTGTACACCCTCACCACTGCGTCGCGCTACACCCCTTTGTCTCCCCAGCTGTACGCGTCTGCTCAAGTAGCTACCCAGTGTGAGTGTCGCCGACTGTCGCACGACACTCTCCTGTGGCACCACCGCCTTGGTCACCCCTCCCTGCCTCGCCTCCGTAGCATGCACTCTCGCTACCTGGTCTCTGGCCTTCCCGAGTCTCTGCCTGCCCTCCCTCCCTCGCCTGCACCGCCCTGCATTCCTTGCGTCGAGGGGCGGCAGCGCGCCGCTCCTCACTCCTCCTCGTTCCCTCCCACAGAGGCTCCACTGCAGACTCTCCACCTGGACGTGTGGGGCCCAGCCCGCGTCCGTGGACAGGGCCACGAGCGGTACTTCCTGCTGGTCGTCGACGACTACACGCGTTACACCACGGTCTTCCCCTTGCGCAGCAAGGGGGAGGTCCCTGATGTTTTGATCCCCTGGATCCGCGCTGTTCGTCTCCAGCTCCGCGAGTGGTTCCAGTCAGACTTTCCTGTCCTGCGTCTGCACTCTGACAGAGGTTGTGAGTTCTCCTCAGACCTCTTGGCAGCCTTCTGTGCGGAGCACGGCATCCGCCAGACGTTCACGCTTCCGGCCTCTCCGCAGCATAATGGGGTTGCTGAGCGCCGCATTGGCTTAGTCATGGAGGTCGCTCGTACCTCCATGATCCATGCGGCTGCCCCCCATTTTCTGTGGCCGTTTGCGGTTCGGTACGCCGCGCATCAGCTCAACCTCTGGCCCCGTGTCTCCTTGCCGGAGACCTCGCCCACACTGCTGTGGACGGGGAAGGTTGGCGATGCGTCGCGTTTCC